AGTAATGCTGCTGAGGGTACCATGATTATACCTAGCCATCAGTCGGGCCGGGCCGGGCCTACCCAAGCCCGACGTAGAAAACCTAGGACCGAGCCTGTCCCAGCCGTTGGCCCTAAAAATTAGGCCCAAGCCTGGCCCATCAATAAAAAAGCCCATCAGGCCTCATCCCGGGTCTTTTCCTAAAACAGCAAATATGGCGGGCCCAAGCCCAGCCTGACCCGGCTATCGGACTCAAACTCTAGGCCCAGGCCCGGCCTGCGGGCAAGGTCAGGTAGGGCCGGATTGGGATTTTTCAGGCCGGGTCGGGTTGGGCCGTCCGGGCAGGGCTGCCCATGGCCAGGTATATAACCATGATTAAGACAAGGACCAAATGGCCAAAACCCAGAGTGAACATTACATGGTTCACAGTACCACCTAAATAATATGCTACTTTGATGACTTTGTGTTCATCCATCCATGATTAATCCCTTTTCTTCAAAAAAAAAAAAATTTAAAAAAATCTTTGGTTAGTACTCTGAAATTGAGAAAAAATTATACTCCCTCCGATTCAGTACAACTTTGTACTAGACCTGCGTAATTAATATGGATCGGATGAAGTGACATACATGGTCGACTCTTGTATGAAGGTTCACGAACAAATGACATCCGTGATATGTCTGGCAAAAATGACAACATTGAAGTTGTATTTGAAAACACTGTTCGAAGGACTATAAGGCCGGATTGTATTTCCTTCAGTACGAAATATGCCCCGCGTGTCAATCCTTGACGAAACTACATACGTGAGTAGAATGGTCAATCAAGTTTGATAGCCCAAAATTTCAGTTTTTTTTTGAGTTTTTTCCTAGTATTTTTTAAAATATTATTCTCCCTTGTATTTTTGACTCCTTTCATGGCAAAAAAGCATACTTCCTTGAGGACTACTCCGGACCTGTATACATGCAAAGTACCCAGTGCACTGAGTTATGTGCTGCTACTAGCACGTCTGGTTAAAAAATCAATTTGCCACTGCAAAAAAAAAATCCTGAAAAAATGTTTATATTATAGGCCTAAATTTGGAACATAGGATAAGAAACGCAAATGCCAAATTCATCAATGATAAAGAAAACATGCAAATTTCAAGGCCCGTTTGCATTAGCCCATATCCACATGATTGATTGTTTTTTTTTTCGGTTGTTCATATGTACTACATTCGTCCGGGTTTATTAGCCCCCCTTGTATTTTGTGCCAGATTTTGACCATCTATATTACAAAATATATATATATACTATGTGATACATAAAGTGCAACACTGAATTTGTATTTGAAAGAGCTTTCTAACAGTAGAGTTTTTGAGACATATAATCTATATTTTGTTAGTTAAATTTACAGATCAAACTTTAGTCCAAAATAAAAGGGTCCTAATAAACCTGGATGGAGGAAGCAATAGCTTGGACCCGATGCCATGAGTGACCAAGGGAACAAGCGAACATAGTAGTATATTCTCTTATTCGAACGAGAAAAAGGGATCGTTTCATGCGTGCGTGCCGGCACGGAGGTCAAGGCAGGCAGCTTTAATTTGCATACCAAGATGAGAGCCGGCTCCCCCGCAAAAAAGAAGAAGAAGAAGAAGATGAGAGCTGGCTCTCTTTTCGTTTTGATCATTGCATATGCGTTTGTGCCCTTTATCGTCTGGAAACCTGCGCCGCGTTGGCGAACCATGCATGTAATTTTTGGACCTGGAGAGAGCCAAACAAATTTGAGACCGTAGAGGAAGGGAGCATGCATGCACTTGAAACATTTCCTCGCTCCAAGATTCGTACTACTACATGGAGTATATCCTAGTCCTACTAGATGTTTTTCTTTTGTCGAAACCGACCTACTAGCTAGTAGAGATATTACTAGAATGGAAGAATGAAGACACCTAAGCAACGTATACTCCGTTTCTAACTGCCAGCCACAGTGTGTGTGCACGTACGATCGAGACGGCCAAGCTACCCAACTGCACGGAAGACCCATCAACTGTTTGTACGTGGCATGATTTCCTTTCCAGACGGGATTAATGGCATGGGCACATGAGCTGATGTGCGACGCTCCCATGCACCACGAACGTACTCAAGTTCAAATTAAAGACGGCACACCAGGTCCCGGTGTGAGTCTCTGTGATCCATGGAGGGATATATATTTTGTTTATGCACTTGCTTTCGCCTATAGCTCTTTTTTTTACTATGTCTATGTGGGATGCTGCTTTTGTCTACGCCCAACTTTACCTTGAAGAGTAGAGAAGGTCGGCGGGACCATTTCCATGCATGCTGCACAAGCTGATCGACCGAGGTGATTTTCTTCTCTGTATATCTTTGATCGATCGAAATGACACGTTGAACCTGGAGTTTCAGCTCCAGTCCTCAATTGCACCTTGGAAAAAATATACAATAGTACTAGAAAAGACAATCTTGTTTTAATCAACAAACTATATTGAGTGTAAATTTCCATGGCAAAAAGTTAAAACCGATACTTCAAAAAGACTGTTTGTTACCTTCGTCTTGGTTTACTAGTCCCCTAGTATTTAGGTTCATATTTTGACCATGATTTTAACTAATAAAATAAAAGTTATATGTAGCAAAAATAATATCATGGGAAACAATGTTTAAATACGAATCCAACGATATAATTTTCGGTGATATGTATTAATATTTTTTAGTTAAATCTATGGTCAAAATTTGACACAAAATACGAAGGGGACCAATAAACCAGGGCGGAGTGGAGAAACACAAAATTATCCGATTCAACTTTTTTTCTTTCTATTTCACTCCGTGCCAGATGCATTTGAGCTCGGAAGCACGAGACCGCTTTCGGAGTGGACACGCGCTCCCTCATCCGTCGTAGCAAAAAGGAAGCAGGACGCGCATGTACTGGTGGTGAGCTGAGCCATCAATGGATCGTCAAGTTCGGCCTAACTAATTGTGTCTACTGTAGCATCGATCGTTTTCGCCGCCCACACCGTTGGTGCGTAGGCATGGAAGACATGTCTGGTGGAACAACGTGATGACTATGCAATACAACTAAGCTAGTACACTACTTGTTTCTTGGTCGCAAAGCAAAAGTGAACACTTGATAACGGCCGGTACAGCCCAAAACAGTGACCGGCCTGCAGTCGTCCATGACAAGAAGAACACTGTACCACTCAAAGTCCACGCTTAATGCAAGAAACAGATGATGTGTTTGGTTGCTCGCATAAAAGTGCCCTGTTTAGGTTGTCAGCGTTTGTTGTTTGGTCTGGATAGTACGAAACATAAAGCACCTTGGGGCTAGGCCCGCTGGGAACGACCGAATCGGCAGTCTTTCCACAGTCTGGCCCGGGGGATGCACGTGGGCGGCGACTGCATGCGAGGAGCCACGCTCGAGATGTCGCGTTGTTTTCCGACGCGCGTGCATAATTACCCTCACCACTTTCTAAGGCGACCTCAGCCGTCCATCATCGGCAACACTTTAGTAATGCCGGTAAGCCCTATTTTCACCTCCTCGCTAACAATTTTTCTATTCGATCCGCATATTAGATTTAGTTTGCGCATTCGATCCATGTGCTAGGGGTACGATTGATTGCGAGGGTTCGATAGGATTGATCAGCACATCTTTATTCAGTCTGGCCTGGGGGATGTGTTGGAAATATCAACACATTTTCAACTAATCTAATCCACGAATAAACAGTAAATATGGCAAATACGGTATGCATCTCATACCGATACCTAAGCATGTGAGCGCGTAAAGTACATAGAACCGAAACATCTATGAACAACATATATACGACCATCACATGAACGAGTAGATAGGGGATGAATGAGTCATACCCTCCGGTTGGCCAAGCCAACGCGGCGACGGCAGTGGCAACCTCGACATCGGCCGAGGCCTTCTTCTTGGCGACTTCGTCGTCAGCCATGAAGTCGATGTAGAGGAAGTAGTGGAAGAACAGGTGGACGGAGACGGGAGCAGTCGCATCGAGACGCTCCCCAAAAACCTCATGCATTGTCGTTCTCCTAGGCAGGATCTCGAACGACAGGGTTCCGGAGGCACCTGCTCTCCCGATCAACCGTGCACGCGGCCGTCGCAATGGGATCGCCGGAAGCAGCACGGAGATAAGAAGAGTAGATGACGGCTAGGGTTGTGCGAGAGGGAGTGAGTGAACTGAGTTAGGGTTCACTCCACTGGCCAACGCCTTCTTATATAGGTCGTCAGATGGATGGTCCTGGGCTGAGGCCCACGACCGAGTCTGCAACAGCACACGGTCCAATGTCTTGGGCAGTGGCACCACTGTAGCAACTCGTCAATTAATCTGAGATTAATAACCTTTCCTGACCGGCAAAAATAAGCTTCGGCTCGGCTCATTCCCGCAACCCGCAACCCGCGATGCGCGCGCATCGTGACGAGGCGAGGCGGGCGGCGGCGGAGGAGGAGCGCGCGTGTACAACTCCTCTTCCCAAGCTCCCAATGACATGTGTTAGAGCAACCCTTATAAAAAGGTCTCACTTTCACTCCACTAGCAGTATGGAACTAAACTTCCCACCACTTGCCATGCACCATAAATGGGCCTTAGAGATTAACCAGGGATTATTATCTTATATGGGCCTAAGCCCATCCATAATCCAACAACCCGCCACCAGATCTCGAGGCACATAAGTTTGTCAACTGTTCTAAACAATGTTCGATATACCAAA